ACAACACGCCCTTTCCTGCCCCAGGGCCTTAGCTAGAGCCCTTTCCCTTCTAGGTACTCACGTGGCCCCTGCCCTCACCACCTTCAGGCTTTCGCTCAAAGGTCAGCTTCTTGGTACAGCTTCCCCAGAGTCATTCCTGGCCTGCCCCTGATACTTTAGCCGAATGCACACATACATATTCTTCTCATAGCACCCTTCCCCATTGAACTAGCAGGTGCACTCCATGTTCCTTCATTTCCTGTCTGTCTCTCCCAGGAACGTTAGCTCCATGGGGCAGGAGAGTGGGCTGTTTCTGTTCACTTTGCACCTTTAGTTCCCAGAATGGTTGCCGGGTAACAGCTAGTAGATAAACAAGTGCTTTCCAAACCTCTGGACATGGCAGCACCCACCACGGCTGGGTCCTGGATGCGACAGAGAGGCAGAACGGAATCTGTAGGGTGTAGCCTCACCATCAGGGAACTCGCTGTTTCCAAAGGTGTCCCCTCCCGCATAAAGGTTCCTCATGCATCCCCCAACATGCTCTGGAGAGCTGGGCAAAGGAACACCTCTGCCCCACTCACCGGCTGCCTGCTCCAGCAAGAACTAAAAACACCAGCTCTTGGCAATGGATTCATTTCCCATCCATCCCTGGGAGCTGACTTCAGCAGCACCCACAGAGGGATGGGAGAGGCACTGGACACTCGGAGTCTGTGCACAGACCTAGAGCTGCACCACACACAGCCACTCCACAAAAACGTTTTCCAGATGCCAACTGGCCCAGTACACATCCTGCTGGGGACCCCACATTAAACAAGCTTTAAACCGGGCTGATGTCTGGACCTCAGAAGCGTTCCCACAATAACCCCAATTTCTAGATGGTGGAAACAGACAGCAACCTAGAATGAGGGAGACAATACATGAAGCGGTGTCCCCTGAGAGTTGGGCCAGAACAGGAGCGAGAGGGGCTGTAGAGGAAACGAAAGTCAAGTGAGGGGAAGACCTGTAGCTTGATGGGATTGGGAAGAGCTTCTGTGAGCACAGTTGAGCACAGCTGAGCAACAGGAGGCTGACCAAGGCCAAGAGCTGAGTTGCCCATCCGGGGGAGCGTAAAGGCCCTGAGGCAGGAGCCTACAAGATGAGCCCAAGGCGCCTTCAGGAGGCCAGTGTGGCTGAGCAGCGGCAGGAAGGATGATAGGAGGTGCAGGAAGGAAGCATGCACAAACCGTGTGGGGCCTTCCCTGTGGCCACAGGGGGGTCTGCAGTTTTTCCTGAGGGTGGTAAGCTGCTGGAGGGTTTTGAATGGAGGAGGGGTACTGACTGACTCAGACTGTGGAAGACCGGGCAGAGGCGGGGTGACCTGCTAGGAGCTGCCAACAGGGTCCATGAGATAGGTGCAGCTAGGCAAGCATGGAGCGGCCTGGCCAGCCTTGACAGAGAAGCAGATGGAGGCAAAGAGGTGAGTCTTCCTGGGGTGAAGAGGCTGTTCTTGGCTCATTCTAGGGACGAATGTACAACTCTGGCCTCAACATTTCCTAATGACCGCAGAGTGGGTGAGACCAGCAGGGAGAATGTCTAGACAATCAAGCCAAGGGGCTGAGATGAAGCCACCTGAGTTCAGAAGCCTGGGAGACAAAGAGGAAACACAAGCACAGGAGACCAGAGAGGCAGGGGACCAAGGGGCCGTCCTCAGCCCTAGACAGGCTATGCCCCCTGCCACCCCGTGCACACTCTTCCCACCCCACCCCTGCCCGCTCCGAGGGTCCAGGACAGGACTGTCTAGACCACAAGTGTGGCTCCTGAACCACCCCAGCAGGCAGTGCACAGCAGGAGGCCCAACAAGACGCATGTGTCCCCAGGAAGCGCCAGTGGGCAGCCATGACAGTGACGTCTGTCCTGGCATCATCCCAAGCTGAAGGCGCTTCCCTGGAAACACCAGTGAGAACTCAACCAAGTCTGAAAACGCCAACTGTCTGTCCTGGGCTGGGCTGAAGAGCCAGGCTGAGGAGCCAAAATAGAACATTCCGGCTTTGTTGCAGTGCTGCTTTGGGCGGCTGCTCCCAAATAGACTTTCGTCCTCGTTTTATCCCACTGAGGATCCTCACCCCCTGTATATCACAGGCCTGGGAGTCCAGTCTCCACGAGGGTGCTCAGGGGCCCCCAGGGACATTGTGACCCTGGGCAGGGGCACAGCACGGTCTTAAGCCTGTGGTATCATCTTCTCACATCCACTGGAAAATGTGACTGGGATGGGGAGCTGCAGCCCAGCTGCTGGCTGACACAGACGTCCGGCCACGGGTGCCAGAGGCCAGGACGTGGAGAGTTCCGCCAGGAGGGAGCAGGCTGTGGCCCCAAAGGAATCCAGGCCCTGATGGCCCTGTCCCATAAACACAGCTGGAGGCTGGGCAGTGTAAACAGCCAGCTGGTCAGCACAGCCACCCACGGGTCCCCGCGCCACTTCCTATGAGCTGCTAGGCTGGCTGCTCTGTCCCTGTCTGCCCCCACCTGAGGGAGGGAGGGGGGAATCCAGAGTCCAACCATCCCTGGTGACCAAATGCTCGCTGCTGGAGGGGAAAAGAGAACAGAAACAAAAACCCCCCGTATCTCCCACCAAGCCTAGAGTCTGTGCATTCGCACAGATCCGGCCCCATGTACCACCAAGACCCCAGGCTTCCTCAGGATCCAGAAGCCAAAAGGTTAACATCCGGGCTCAGTCCTGGGGCTAGGGGTCCTTCTGCAAGGTCAAGGGTTCAAAATGAGACACAAATCACGGGGTTTCCACCTTTCAAGACCCCTTCTTCAGGAACCCCCAGAGGCCAGCATTGCTGACACTCAAGCTTTTGGACCGTCTCCCTGTCCCAAACGCTTCTAACCAGATGTGCTGGCTGTCTGGCCAGCAGCAGGACTCTGCCATCAAACTGCTGCAGGTCCTCCTGCTGCTTCCTGCTGTGTGGCCAGTGGGAGAGGTCACTTCCCTTGGCTGTTGCACCTCCCAGAAGAGGCCAGGGACAGCACCTGCCTCTCTGAGCCTTAAGGAGAAGGTAAACACACAGGTGCTTGTCACAACAACCCTACGAGTCCAACAAAAGCAAGCCCCGCATGGCAGACAAGTAGCTGAGGCACGGGGCAGAAACGTGACTTGCCCGAGGCCACACAGCTTGTTCAGAACAGAGCCAAATGCAAATCCAGGTGGGTTCTGGTTGTCAAGCCCCTGGCTCCCAGCAGGAGTCCGCAAAGGCCAGCCAGGAAGTCCTTTGACTCTGTCGGCCACAGCTGGCCTCCACACTCCATCTGGCTCACTGCTGCCTCTCCGTTTTCCTTACACCCCCCTTCAAGGAATGTAAACACCATTCCTAGCTCCTGGGTTGGACAGAAGCAGGCTGTAGGCTTGAGTGGGTGGCCCGTGGATCTCAGCTTTGCCAGTCCTTCCTCTAAGCCACTCTACTGTCCCGCAGCCTGAATGCTGGCCACAGCTCCCAGTTTAGAAGGTGTGGTGAAGAAAGCCTGCAAAGGACCATGTGGGCCTGCCTGCACCACGGGCTACCGACTGGCAAGTTGCACCAGGCACTGTTTCCACGCCAAGGTGAAGGGCAGCGCTGCAGTGCTTCTAACCCCTGTCAGGAGTCAGAACAGCAGCAGGAACTACTGCAGAAGCTCCTCTGGAGCCCCTGGAGGGACAAGCAGCAGGAGGTGGGAGCAGGGACAATTGTGTCCTCAACACACACACACAGAGGCGGGCGCACACACATGTACATACGCAGAGAGACACACACAGAGATACACACACTAACATACACAGAGATAACATACACACACACATACAGATACCCAAACATACAATGATAACACAGATACACACACACATATACAGAGACACACAGACACACAAATAGAGCAGGACACCCAGAAGGCCCATGTTGACAGGCAGAGTTCACATCCCAGGGCCTGGTCCAGCTCTGAGGCTGGAGCGCCACCCACTTTCTCCACCAGAAAGTCAGGTTCAACAGTTCCCTTGTACCCTTCCCATTGCTCTTCCAGTTCATGAAGCCAGAGATGCAGGCAGCGTCTGGGAGCAGGTGCGTGAACAAGGCGCCACCAGCCAAATGAAGGCAGCAGCAGGGAACCCGGGCAGCAGCTGTCAGATGGGAGGCCTTCGGAACACAGCCAGGACAGGCACTGGCCAGCAGCCGCCATTCGTGTAGGGTGGAAACCCTGGGCCGATGGTGGCAACCCAGACCTTGCCCAGCACCCACCACTGACACCAACATTCAAGACTTCTCGAGTCCCCACACAAGCAGCAAGTCCTCCTTGCTCTAAGCAGAAGCAGGGAGGGAGACATCAGGTATGTGAAGGCTGTAGTTTATACATGCAGAAGCTGTGCCTCCCTCCTCTCCCCCTTGAGCCCTGATCCTGGGAACAGGCTTTAACTATGGAACAGTAGCCCACGGGACTCCATGATGGATTCATAATTAGGACATAAGACTTAAGTCTTGAGTTACTCAGGGTAATGGGTTTGGGGATGAAGCACCTGACCCAAAACTCAGCCAATAAGAACACAGCAGAGTGGAGTCCACAATCACGCCTCAGCCAGTCAGAACACAGCCCTGTCCTGCTCACCGTGATTGGGTCAGAGGATAATTAATAATACAAGCAAAGGCTTTATGTGATTAGTTGGAGCCAATCACATGACTAAGACTCCAAACACCTGGGATACCACATGCTCTGGCCACAGATGGTCGAGGCTGGAGTCAATCTGGGGATGTCCATCAGAACGCTTAGAAGCGACATCCGCTTTCTCACTGACCTTACACTTCAGAGAGTGATGACAGCCATCTGCTGCCCACCGCAGAGAGAGCTCAATGGTGCCGAGTGGACAGGAGACACAGAGACAGAGCCTGGCCCTGAGCCAATGTGAAATGTCCCAGCTACGAGACCCAGTGTATTCCACTCTGGTGCTGAAGCCTGGCCATGCCAGGGCTGCTGGCACTTGGGATAGGGTTGGGGGAGCCAGCCAAGTGCCTCACCTTGAGGAGCAGTGGGTACTTGCAGATCCTCTGGATTGGGGACAGCAGGTAGCCTTCCAGTGGAATGTCCGTGGTCTTCCGGCCTCCCAGCAGCATACAGCTCTGCAAAGCAACAGGGACCTTTGTTAAAACTCACCCAGACAGCACAGGGATAGGACCACCAGCAGCACCCCCATCGCACCTCCAACCACAGGGAATGTTCTAAGAATGCAGCGGTCCACAATCACTCAGCAAGCAGTTTAGCAACACCAGGACAGGTGACAAGGTGCACAGGCCACAGCCCAACACAAAGCCCTCATTAGGAGTTAGCACACAATGGCCCCTCGGCCAACTCCTGTCCACCACCTCCTCTGGTGGGGTTTTACTGGAATACAGCCACTTCCATCATGTGTCGTCTGTCACCGTTCTCAGGCTATTGTGGCGGAGCTGAGCGATAGCGACAGAGGCCCATGGAGGTGTGAAACACGTTTACTGCATGGTCTGTCGCAGAAAAGCTGGCCAGTCCCTGGTCTAGCGACTCTAACTCATACACCAGGAGGCAGGCACCAGGACCTGCCTTGTTCAGGCCAGCGAAAGACAAGGAGCAACCTAAACAGCAAGCAGTTGGAGAAAGGCAAAACCTGGCTGTCATTCTAAGTGTGGCCGCAACAGAATCACGGGATGGGATAGCAGCAGCAGAGCTCAAACCACACCTGCTGACAATGACAGGCTCCGACACAGTCTCAAGCCAGAAAAGAGAACCTGAAGGCTATGGTCACTGTGAGCCCTTTCACTCCGATCTTGTAAAGACGTGGGAAACAGTGAGAGACGTGGCCTGTGTGAGGCCTGTAAACAGCCAATTCCAAGACATGCGCCAAATGCCAACCAGGGATCCCATGATACATGGGAGGTAGGAGCTTGAGCACAGCCTGCGTGCAGGGTTAAAGCCTGCAGTTCCACCAGGAATGGAGACAGTTCCAACAACTCCCAGGCTCACCCGCCAGCACCTGTCCATGCCAGTCAACACAGCGACCTGCCCGTCAGGCCAGCCTCTCAGCAAGGACACCTTCTCTTCCCCAGTGCCCACGTACTCACAGTCATGGAACCAACCCCATCAACTGCTAATGCTGACCGAGGCTTTGCATACATTCACAATGTCACGAGGCTTCTGAGCCTGACCACCAATCTTCACGGGCACTGAGACCCAATATTCCCGTTTCACAGCTTGAAACGCTGAGGCCCAAGAGGTTGAGTCTTTCACCTCAAGGTCACCCTCCAGAACAGGTGGGGTCTAAAGCCAGCCTGGCAGATGCAGCATCTGAGTCGGCGGGGGCGGGGGGCGGCCATCATGCTAGTCTGCCTACGCAGCCACTCCACCTGCACTCACTCCAGTGCAGGCTCCCTTCCTCCTGCAGCCTGCACAGTAGGCTGCTTGTTCCACGGGGCTACAGAGCACATTACAGCACTGTGCTCTCCCCCTGGAGGCACTCCAGCTGAAGCAGCCGTCTTCTGGGTGGCGGGAACTATAGGCGACAGGCCTGCGGGCCCCCGCCATGCCCCTCTTAGCCCCTGGTCCCCCGTGCTTATGATGTGCTCCACGCATGCCCAAGTGAATGAATTCACAAACAAGCTCATGAATGAACAAGCCGCCAGCACATGCAGCAAATAAGGGGGTTTCAGTCAACACCACCCTAGCAGACTGCAAATGAGTCAGGATGCTGCGGGAAAGGCATTCATTCATTCATTCATTCATTTCTTCCATGAGTGTGTACTGTGGGCTTACTAAGTACTGGGCACAGTGCCAGGACATTTGTTTGGAAAACCGCCCAACGGCCCCCTGTTAATTTTCCAGTGAAAACAAGATTGGAGGGCCATTACCAGGTGCCCGCCATGTGCTGGCAACTAAATGCCTCACACCTCACATACGTGTGGGTCCCTGCCGCAGTGGCAGGACAGAGCATGAACTGCGGTCTCCCTGTGACCCACAAGGAAACTGTAGTAAGTTCAGCTGGTCCCAGACCCAGAGCCACCTGCCTCCACTGCCTCTCAGGGACCACAAAGAGCTCTCTCCTTGCAGAGGCAGAGTCCTGGGCAGCCCAGACCCTGCTGTGGCCCAGCACCACAGTTCTCACCCCAGTGTCCACCCCTGGCACAGACCAGGGGATGCAGGCTGCTGCAGCTGGGAGATGCCAGGCCTGTCACTGCTCACACTCAGGCCTTTGTTCTCCAAGCCAGCACTGGTCACAAACTGCCCTTGATGATGTCAGCTCCGGGCAGAGAGCAGGGAGCAGAGGGGGGATGGAGTAGCAGGGAAGGAGGGGGAGCTTTCCAGAAGCCCCAGGCACTTGGCAGAAGTAGGGCCGGTCTCTTTGTCCAGGATCAAGGCATTTTCACAGGGCTGGCCCAGCCACCAACCACACTCAGACTGTTGTTCTACTTTATTTTCATTAAAAAAGAGAGAGAGAGAGAAAGAAGCCAAGCCACACAGAGCTGCCATTCACTATTCTCTCATCACACCCGGGCACCGGCCAGAGGGAGGAGTCCGAGGGATTACCTCCTGCACCCTCCTCCTGCTCGTCACAGAATGGGAGCGGTGGCAGCCTCATGCCGCCCACCCGGGGCCACCGGCTCCCACTTGATGTCTGTCCACACCCACTCCCTGCCCATCCTGTTCAGACCCACGTTTTGAACACCATCTTAATGCTGAACATGCTCACACGGGCCATCTCCTGCCAGCCCCTTCCCTAAACATTAGGCTCTCAGGCCACTTGCCCCACACCTGCTCTGGGCTGTCTCCTGGGCAGCCTGAACTTCACACCCCCAGAATGAAAACGGTCATGGGTCTCAACCACTTTCACACACCCAGACCTTTGTCATTGGCTCCCACCCCACAGCCAGCTATGAGGCACGGGGGTGCCCCCCAGGTTTGTGCCTTCCAAGTGCCTCTGACCATCACTCCCAGCAACATCCTTTTCTTAGCTGCCAGCACCTTCTGCCTGGACAAGTGCAAGAGCCCTGAGGGAGGGGTGGTAGCAAATGATATCTGCCCAACCTGGGCCTCCTCCACCCAGGGCATCAGGTGTGATTGAGGCTCTTGCAAGTGTTACTGATTAAATGCAGTCACACTGGATGGAGAGGGGAGGATACAGAGAAAGCGGCCACGGATGGCACAAGACACAACCAAGTGATGCTGCACAAACCAGGGCAGCATCCATCCCCAGAGCTATGGAGTGGGGGTACGGCTTAAAACTGCCAGGATTGTGAGCCGCTGGCCTCCAACACTGCAAGGGAAGTCCAGCTGTGTTCAGCCCCCAGTTTATGTAACTGTTCCTGCACCCTGGAGAGAAGGAATGAGGCCTCTGCTGGCCCCTCGGTCCCACCCTCACACAGCCAAAGGGCCCCCAGGATGCCAAGCTGCTCCTATGCTCAGCCCCTCCTAGTTGCAGTCTCCAACATCCTGCCATGGGTGCCCACATGGGGACTTGCACAGGCTGCTGGGCACCCAGACTCCGTGCTGAAGCACTCATGTAAAACTCAAGAAGGGGCAAAACAGCTTTGGTGAGAGAGCAGTGTGTGCTCATGCCTGGAGGCAGAGGAGGGCATGACCGAAAAGGAGTAGATGGACATGTCGCAGCTCCTGGTCTCAGGGCTGGCATCACAGACGTGGCAATCAATGAGGTTCATCTCCTAGGACCACCTTCACTGCAGGTGTGCCGCACCCCAGTTCAAAAAAAAAAGCTTAGGAAAACCCAGTCCCTTTCCAGGACTGAATCCTCCTGTATTACCTGGCTTCTCACGACCTCTCCGACCCCCTCTCCCTCCTAAGCCCCTCCACAAGCCCAGGGCCAGCGCACTGGCACTTTGTCCATCTGGAATTCTCTGTGTGTGCATGTGCATGTTGTGTGTGGATTTCCTAAATTTATCTGAAAAGTAAAAACAAATAGATGAGGTCTCCCACCTACTGGTTCACTCCCCAACAGCCGCCAAGGCTGGTCAGGTCAAAGCCAGGAACCAGGGACTCCATCCAGGACCCCCATGCGGGTAGTAGGGACCCAAGGACTTGAGCTGTCCCCTGCTGCCTCCCAAGGTGCACATGAGCTGGACGCTGGAACAAACAGCAAAGCTGGGACTCAAAGCCGGGCACTAGAGTCTGGGATCAGAGCATCCCAAACAGCAGCTTAACCACTACCCTCCACACGGAATTCCGTACATCCAGGCAGCCCTTACCCCCTCTTTTCCTCCCCCATGTCATCCCTACTCCTGCTTAAATGTCACCTAGGATGCAGTTTGTCCAAACAGCAGCCACCACTCTGACTCCCTCCAAACATCGTCCAGAGCTGACTTCATCTCCTCCAGGGGACGCCATGCCACAGCATCATGTCTCACCTGCACCTCCCTCACCGGAAAAGCGACTCCAGGGGAGCCGTATCCACCACCATATCCCAGATCTCGGAACACTCCCTGTCACGCAGGAGGTGGTGCTCATTAAGAAGGTGCCTAATGCAGTACAGTGGAGTCTGCAAAGAACACCTGGTACCACAACAGAGAACGGGAGGACAGAACAAATCGATCGACTACCTCCAACCAAGTGTTGGCATTAAGTCTCCTGGGCAAAGACTCTAAGGTGGACTATGTCAACCAGAGGGTTTTGGAGAGATTTCATCGTGCTTGGAGTGGTGAGATTGGCAGTAATTCAGAACTGTCGGATTATCAAAACCTCTTGAGCAGGACCCTCAGAGCATGCCCCACATCGGGGACCCTGGAGTGGTGTCGGGTGGCTGCCCTACCATCCCAGGGTGCAAAAGTGTTTGGGAGGCTGGGTGTGGCTTCTCTCCTTATCTCCCTCCTTCCCCCAGATACAGGAAGGAAAAAAAAAAGATGGTGGAAATTGTTATCTCACCCACCTTCCTGTAGCCCTTGACCCTAATCACCCTAATCAACTATGTAAAAACCATCAAAAACAAAAATAATATTTTTAAAAAGAAATAAACCCAAAAAGCAAACAAAACAAAAAAAGAAGGTGCCTAATGAATAAATCACCCCCATTTTACAGACAAGAAAACTAAGACACAGAAAGGCAACATCACTAACCCCATTACAAGACTGGTACACAGCACACTGTGAATGGAAAGGTGGTTTCTGCCTCTTCCCCGCCCCTCAACATCCTGTCAGAAACTCCCCACAGCCCTTGCACAGGTGGCCAAAAGCTGGGAGATGCCAACAAGGAGGGAACCAGATGGTGCATAAGCTGGTACTCCACTCACCCACCCCCTGCCCTGCCTGGCTCAGCCCAGCTGCTGTGGGGAAAGCGGCAGCCTGGCTCACCAGGAAGACTGCACATGAGAAAGGCAGGAGAGGAGCCCAGGCTGTCACCACGCCATGCCCACGTCATCACCCTCCTGCCATCTTCCTGGGCCCCAGGGGAACCCTCAGAGGGCAGGACCTTCGGCCAGGCTGCCTACGAGCCAACAGCAGGAGAGACACAAATGCTGTCATCTATCTCTCTGGCATGCATGATGTCTCACACGGATCAGACTTATCCTTGCGTTGTGTCCATACTATTTTTGCGAACCCAAAGATGGAAGCAGGAAGAGGCAAACCAGCAAAACAATGAGCCAAAAATGCAGAGAAGCTGGTCAACAGTGGGCTCTGCCTCAGGTGTCCACCAGAACTGGGCAGCACACACAGGCTTGGGAGGAAAACGGGCAGGTTCTTCTATCAGAGTCTGGGACAGATTTCGCTGCTGGCTGTGCTGTGAGCAGTACATTCTGCAACAGAGAGCTGAGAATGCCGTCAGCACTTGGCATGCCAGGTCAGCTGACGCCTCCACCCTCGGATCCTCAACGCCGAATTCTTGGTGGGGAAATAAACAGATTGGGGGTGAGGGTCTCTGTGTGTGAACCCAAGGAGCTCCGCAGCTTTTCAAGCACATCCCTTAGAAATGTCCTGAGTATTCTGGAATCCACAAACTCACCTGTGGCCAAGGTTCCCTGGCATCCCCCCTGCCCAGTAAGTATTCTCAGTGATGCCCTGGAGTCCCTAGGACAAAGTCTCCATTCTCCAGCCTCCCTTGCAGCTAGGGAAGGCCACAGGACTAGGTTCTAGACAACAGGACCAGAACCCAAGAGCCAGGTGCAGTCCCAGAATGCCCTTCAGGGGATAAGGGTGTGTCCGCCTTCCCAGCCCTCCTGCCCCCTCCGGAGGGGTGGCGGTGGTGGTGATCAGGATCCAGTGAGAGGTTAGGACATTACCCAAGGGCCTGCAACCCCATACCACACCACATCGACACCCACAGGGCTGACAAGCCAGCATAAGCCACTGAGACCCATGGGATGCCCAAAAGCACACACAGGTACCAGGGAACTCCCACACAGGTGACAGCAGCTTGGAAAGCTCCAAGAAAGGGACAAACTGTTTCATGTGAAAGGGATGGTCTTTCTAAGTGCAGAGAAGCCCGCATGGGCATCTACTCCTGGGGCATGCTTGTTTATCCTGTCCTTGTGTACACTCACTGGGCCTTCAGAAGACCAGTCAATGACCCCAGCCTAAGGCTCTGGGCCAAGGTGAGCCAATGAGCACCAGACCCGCAACTTTCACTCCTGGCTCTTAGGCCTGGAGTTGCTCAGCTCTGAGAAGTGGACACGTGGGACTGCTGGAGGCTGGACTGCCAGCTCCTGGGGAAGGCAGACCTGCAAGGAGAGCTGGGGCAGACAACAAGCAGAGTCCAGAGACGTGTTCGGGGTGGCCTCATTTGACCCCTGCGGTTGACCAGGTCTTAAGCTTCCCAGAAAAGTAAGCCAGGAAACCGGCTTTTGGGGTGTTGTTTTTCTTTTTCTTTTTAAAGATTTGTTTGTTTATTTGAAAGGCTGAGTATTGGAGACAGGGAAGCAGAAGAAGAGCAAAGGGAAGGAAAAGGGGAGGGAAAGTGAGAGAGAGAAATTACTCTGTCACCTAATGACTGACTTTCAACTTGGGCATAATGGTCCAGACTCGGAAGACCACGCCAGGGGTCAGCAAGAGCATTTGGGTTCTGTACACAGCCCATCCCCTGCTGCCTTCTTGGGGACATAAACATTAAGCCAGCTCAGAAAAGCAGGCCATCCAGGACTGGAACCAGTGCTTCGACCCGAGACGCCAGTGTCACAGGTGGTGAGCCACACCAGCAGCCAAGGATGTTGTTTGATTTGGATTTTCCTTCTGCCATAATGAAATAATCCTAATAATGCTAGGAATCCAAACAGTAGCAGCAGTAACTATAATTACTACCACTTGTAGTAGGACCATTGCTTTAAACCAGGAATTGATATCGACCTCTGTCAGGCCTTTTGCCTGTTTTTGAAAATGAGGTTTTACTGGAGATATGTTCATTCCTTTACCAAGGACCACAACGGTGTGAGCCCAGCCGGCGTCATCACAAGAACAAGCAAAGTAAAAGCCCCACCCCCACTAACGTACCCAGAAGGTGTCTGCAGATCCCTGCTGTCTTAGATCAGAAGGGATCAGACAGCGCAGGTGAGCGCAGGGCTCCCCTGGGTGTCCAGGCGGGCTGGCATGGGGTAGGAGAAGTGAACTCACCAGCAGGAAGGCACGCACAGTGGGTATCTTGTTCAGTTCCACCAGCAGCCGCAGGGCCTTCTCATGGTTGCTGCAGTATTCCTCGTACACGCAAAACTTGTCCTTCTGCAAGACAGGGAGGGAGCCAGTGGCAGACAGGCCACAGTACGGCTGGGTCAGCTGACCTGGGAGGATGGAATCAGTCCAGACCGTGGCAGCCGGGACAGTAGGGGAAGTGGTCTCCACATTCCCCCCTGCCCCAGCTACTTGGAAAACTTGCAGGAAGTAGCTCGGCCCAGGGTGGAGAGCAGCAACCAGAGCCACGCATCCTGGACTTGAACTTGGCTGCATTCCCTAGGTGAGCTACCTGAGCTCCCTGTGTCTCGGTTTCCTCATATGGAAAGAGGAGCTTGATAAAAGTCCCTCCCTCACAGAGGCCAAGGCTGGTCTTCTTCATGCAGCCTAGAGGTCACCGGAAAGGTCACAAGGTCCTCAATCAGCGGTCAGAGTTTCCGGAACTGGAAGGTCACAAGCCATCTTAGCAGGAAGCTCTCAACAGAGCAGCCTTGGTTCCAAAAGGCTCAGAATTTGCCAAGCCCCAAACAAGGATGTCCTGGGTAGGCTACCAGGGAGGAAAGGCTGACAGGCTTGAACCTGGAGGGGGATGGGAAGGGACAAGGGAGACCCCATGAAACTAAGGAAGGAAGAGGTGGGGATGCAAGGAAGGCAGCCTGCCTTGTTTCTAAACAAGCCCCTGCCACCCTTCCGTGGGAACCTGCAAGGAGGCTGGGGAGTTAGAAGGGGGAAGGCCTTTGACATGAGTGAGTGACCCCAGCCAGCCCCATTGGTGCTGGGGGTTCCGTGTGCACCAGCTAAGAGACACCCTGCTATGCGGGACCAGGGTACCAAGCATGGGCTGTACTCTGTTTTCTGGACCAGAGGGTAAGCTCAGTCTTCCCAGTTAAGCTTCTATTTAGTTACTAGGAATAGACCCATTTGCACATGGGAAAACCAAAGCAGAGTGACCTGCCCTAGGGCTTGCAGTGAGTGTGGTAACAGAACCAGGATTCAAACTCTCATAACCCCGTGCCGATTTCCAGGTCAGGGTCACAGCACAGGAAAGGGGTGGGAATGAGAGGTGGATACACACACCCCATAAACCGAACCCCAAAGGGTCCCGTGGCACCAGGGCAAGGGAAGCAGAGCACTAGAAATTCAGCACTGTGCTCCCCAAGTAGAGCGGAACCCGAGGCGAGGACATACCGTAGTGTGCAAGGGGTACAGCAAGCCAGCCCCAGCACAAGGCATAGTAGGGCACAGTGACCTACTGAGTTGTCCAATGAGCAGAAAGTGCCTGGCATGCAAACTGTGAGATACAAGACTGCAAAACACTGCCCAGGTTTTAGCTTACAAACACAATAAACATACATCTACAAGGGAGAAAAAAATCTAAACAATGCCCCAGTTCCCATAGAGTAGACACACACATATACACATCTCGGGACAAACTGCCCCGCTGTACACTCCAGGGAACCTTCACAGCCTACTACAACACACAAGCTGCATGTGTCAAACACCATCGCCAACATCAGTATCACACGGGGAGACACAATGAGCCCCCCAGCCACAGGCTCCTCACTGATGGCGTGCTGTCTGCAGAGACGCCAAGGACACAGAAGAAAAAGAGGGGGGACCCAGCATTCCCTCACTGCCCGAACAGACCTGTTCTAGTTCCCTGTTTCAAATGAGCCTAAGTACCTGTCAATATTGACAGAGATGGGTGAGAGGAAGTCTGGATGACAAGGGGGCTCATCTGGACATAGTTGGAACTCATGGGCAGGGTTGGGGGAGGGGTCAGCTGGACTTATCTGGAACCATGACCTTGGCTGCAGCAAGGTCACAGGGATTCTTTCTCGATGTTAGTGATGGGCACAGGCCTGAGTGTCTGGACGCTCCCCAGGGGCTCCAAAGGGAGGGCATGGCAGGAGGAAGTCCCAGCCACATGGAAGGAACTAGAAAAGTTTCTTCTCCCGGGGCTTTCCCTGGCCCAAACATCCCTACTGTCAGGGGTCAGTGTTACAGAGCAGGAAGATAACCCACTTCCGATCCAGCCCCCCCCCCTGCTACTGCGCCTGGGAAGGCAGCAGAAAACACCCCCAAGTGCTTGGGGTCCTACCACCCAAGTGGGAGCCTTCAATGGGAGTCCTGGGGCTCCTGGCTTTGGCTTGAATGAGCCCTGACTGTTGTATGGCCATATGGAGAGTGACTCAGCACACAGTCTCTCTCTGGCTTTCAAGTACATTTGTGAACACACATACACACACACACACACACACACACACACACATGCTACAAGCACTGCGTTAAGACACTAAGGTCCCCATGACCACTGACACCAACCACTGCCATGTGCAGGTACTGCAGCCAGCCTTCCCAGGTCCACAGCCCAACTCCCCCTGGCTGTCAGCTCTGTGACCTTGGCAAAGACAAGACTCTGATCCTGCGTATTGTCATCTGTAATGTGGTTGGGTGAGTGTCCCAGACCAGGGAAGGCCATCAGAGGACAGTACCAGGCAGACTTTAAGACATACAGAGGAGGGTTGTGACCCCTCTAGCGTGTCCTACTACCCACCCATCAACTGTGAACTCCAAAGGGCCAGAGTCTGCACCTGTTGAGGTGAGTGCAGGGCCAGCAGTCCCTGCCTGGAATCAGGCAGAAAAAGAGAAGCAAACACTAAGAGGAACTTAGAGGGTCCCCGTGGTCCGCAAACCAGCTTCTAGCTTCTGTCTAGACTGACCTGACCTACCCACAGATGCACATGTGACCCAGGACATACCAATCAAAGGGCTTCCTGCTCTGGCAACAGTGGCCATACAAGTCAAGCCGAGCCAGTGACAACCCGCAAGGACTCATGCTGGAATTATAGGCCTCCATGGGACTGCTGAGGGATAAAGTGGCAGCCTGAGAGGCACACACCATCCCCCTCCTCCAAGCACAAAGCCAGTGGGATGGGGCGGGGAGCAGGGAAGCCAGCGTCGTGGCTCAGCAATTTAAGCTATCATCTGCAACATCAGTATCCCAGGTTAGAGCACCTGTTTGAGTCCTAGCTCCTGTACTTCCAACCCAGCTCTCTGATAAGGTAGCATAGAATGACTCAGATATGTGGGCCCCTGACACCCATGGAAGAGACCAGGACAGAGTTCCTAGCTCCTGGCTTTGGGGTAGTTGTGGTGGTCATTTGGGCAGTGAGCCAGTGAACAGACCTCTTCCCCCCGCCCCTTGCATGTGTGTGTCTCTTTCTTTATGTCTGAAGCTCTGCCTTTCAAATAAATAGATCCAAGAAGGAGGAAGGGAAGGAGAAAGGAAGAGAGAAAGAATAGAACCAGTCCCAGCAGCTTCATTTCCAATCCAGCTCTCTGCTTGTGGCCTGGGAAAGCAGCAGAGGATGGGCCCAAAGCATTGAGACCCAGAGCCCATTTGGGAGACCCAGAAGAGGCTTCTGGCTTTGGAACAGCTCAGCTCTGGCCATTGATACAAAAAACAGCAGAGCCCAGGCGTGCGGAGAGAGGTCCTGAAAACAGCATGCAGCATCCTGGCTCCAGCTATGCCTGAAGCCACCCCACTCCACCACTTCATTTACCTGAGCCGACCAGCTCTACTTGACTTGAGGGTTTTTTCACCTGCCATGAAGACAGCCTTTTACTTAAAAGTCAGAATTACAGAGAATTGGGGCGGGGGGGGAGGACAAAGAGAAAGGGATGTCCCATCCTCTGGTTCACTCCCCAAGTGGCCGCAGTGTCCAGGTCAGTCTGAGTCAGGTTGAAGCCAGAAGCCAGGAGTTTCCTCTGAGCTCTCACACGGATGGCAAGGACCCAAACACTTAGGCCATTCTCCACTGCTTTTCCCAGGCCATGAGCAGGGAGCCAGATCAGACGTGCAGCAGCCGGGAGATGAACACTCACATCTCACACTGGAGTGAGGCTTCTAGCTGCTCTGCTTCTGACTCAGCTCCCTACTGACACACCCTGGGAGGCCCCAGCCACCCACATGCAAGACCCAGATGAAACTCCCGGCTCCTGATCCAGCTGGGCTATGGCCACTTAGGGATTGAACCTGCAGGTAGATTTCTTTTTTTCTCTCTCTCTCTCTGCATTTCAAATATATAAAATGTATCAGTTTTTACAAACTCCTACCTCTGACCACACTAGCGCTTTGCTAAAAGCCTGCAGTGGTTTCTTAGGGCCCAGCATCAACCTTGGAGGTCCCACAAAGCCCTTACAGGAACTGACGCCTCATGGCAGTCCTGACCCCCGCCTGCTGTGGCTGCCACCCTGCTCCTAAGTGCCAAGTTGGCTCCCAGCCTGGGGCACACATGCTGTCTCCTCCCTCGGGCACCCATTTCCCAGAGGGCCTCTGCACCTGCACCTGCACCTGCACTTGGTGGCACAGGCTGAGTCAGCGCCACCTCCAAGAGCTCAGGCAGGTGGGAGGCAGGAATTATAAATCATACATGAAAAATGCCATTTGGAAATCGCACAACATTGACTCATACCCTGTGCGATGATTCCTATCTGCAAGGTGCACTCCGCGCCCCACCCACACCCATCACTCCCCGAGCGTTGCTGAGATCACGCCCAGGACGGCCGTGGTCCCAGGCCTTCAGGACAGGAAGAGGCTGAGCAAGTAGTTTCCACTGCACTTGTTTTCACGAATTCTTTAGAGGAAGAGACGCTCACTGTCTACTTTCAGGGATGACAAAGACTTCACCCTTTCGGTGATTTTTTTTTCCAGTAAATTGTTGAAATGATGAAGCACCCAGACACAGCAAAATGTACAAACTCAGTGTGTGAGCTGCTGAGCTGAAGGTGCCCAGTGCCGTTGGCAAGAATGCTCTGATCCCAGCTCTCCTATGGAGGGCTGTGACCCTGCATCTGACCCTCCTCTCAAGTTTGCCAGTCTATGCAGTGGGCAGCTGAACTGGAGTTTAAGAGGCAGGGACACATGACAGTGACCCTTGCCCCGGTGCTAACAGACAACTCCCCAACAGGGAGAACACCCCCTAAGGATCAAAGTGCAAAGGGCTCTGACAACCAAGCCAGGGAGGGAGAGAACACACAGGTGTCAGAGGAGGTAGTGGGCGTGGCCTGTTCCAGAACAGTGAGGAGCTCAGGTGGTGGTGTGGTGGTTGGGAGGACGATGGGGGAATAGACAGGGTCTGGGGCAGCTCAGGGAAGAGGAGCGGGGAGGCTGTGTGTACTACTATGCAACAGGTGTCTGATCTCAGGAGCATCTCACTGCTGTCTGGGCCAGGGACAGCCATCCTGGGCCCTGACGTGAGGCCCCACTGCACTGAGTGGACACTCCCGAGAGCCTGGGATGAGGCTCAGCAGGCACAAGGCTGTGGCCCTGAGAATCCACAAATTCCTGAGCAGGTGCAAGGGACCTCATGGGTTCTCACTGTCTAAACCAGTTGAGCAGATGGGCCTCAACAGCCCCAGGTCACAGATGCAGAGACTGAGAACAGGGAGGCAAGGTCCTCCTCCCAGGAGCTCAGAGTTGGGAGGCAGCAGTATCAGGATACAAAGTCAGACAAGCCAGGCTCGCACATGCACTGAGATCTCGGGATGATGGGAGGTCCCTGGGTCGGGATGCCGTGGCAGAAAGGCCTGACCTTCCACTCAGTGGGTCATGGGTCGGGGCTAAGCACTGCCCTCACCCAGGCTAACTGGATGAGGCCACACCAAGAAATCTAGGAGGTGAGGACAGAAAGGACAAGGAAAGCACCCAGCCCACCCTCTTCTGCATCTCCAGGGGGTCAGGAATCCCTCCTAGAGAGGCAGAAGAGCCCAAGTCAGGGTCTTTGGCACTTGGAGTTACCCCTTCTCTGCTTCCTCTTCCCCTCCTTCAGGAAGCCCCTGGTATCCTGGCTGGACCAGCACCCACAGAGGACACTCGGGCAACAGCAGCTCAGGGCTGGACTGGCTTCAAGGGCTTCGCTCAGATGAACTCCCTGCATCCTTATGAAGGTTCTCCCACCACTCCCACTTCACAGAGATGGAGACCAAAGCCCTGAGATGCAGTGGCTTGCCCGAGGTCATGCAGCTCATCAGAGGGTTCTGAATTGTGGCTGCTGACTCCAGGGAAGCAAGCGTTCACTCGTCATTCTGAGCCCAAAGTGGAGGCCGTACATCCCCCCATCCCACCCAATTCTCACAGCTTTCCCTTTCGCAAACCACAGCTGCCCACCCTCCTCACCACCCCCACGGCCCCCATGCCACTCAGGGCACCATCCACTGGGACTTGGTGGGTGACCTTCTGCTGGGCTCCCTGCTGCCCCCTCAACAGTCTCTGCTCCCTCATGTAGCCTAAGGACACTTTTCTACCCAGAACGGACCCCATCTCGCCTCTGTATATTTCCAGTGCAGACCCCAGTGCCCACCCATCCCACCAGCTCCATTTCAAACACAGAGGAACCTTCGCCATTAGGGAGAGAAAAGCAATCCCAAAGGGACCACTAAAACCACCACTGTCTGCTTCCTGCTGGTCCTGCCTGCCCACCATGACCATCCCTTCTCCCAAACAGGCAGGCCAAGCAGGGACCTGGCAGAGAAAGCCAGTCGGCCAAAGGGGCCCACATGTTATGGGTGCGGGGGTGTGGTACTCACGAATTTTAAGAAAACGTTGCCAAGTTCGTGCTGAGACTGTGGCTCCGGATGCAGACAGAATTCCAGCGCAGCCAGGAAATCCTTGTGCACCTCCAAGATGTCCTCAATGTTGGAGAACAGGATCTGGGAGCAAAAGGGGAGCCCAAGGAAGAAGATGGCGGCATTAACCAAGGTGCAGGGGGCAGAGCAAGGCTGAGCACCAGCCACTCCCCAACGCAGGCAGAGGTAGGATCAGAGCAAGCTGGGTGCTCCCATAGCTCTCTTCTTATCTCCTCATCTTACCATCCGTCTCTGTAACTCTGCCTTTCAAACAAATAAATCTTAAAAAAAAAAAAAAGAAAGAAAAGAAAAAGAACCTCAACTCCCATCACCCCCACCACCCCATCCTAGAGTTAGTCCCCCTCAGTCCCTTTCCATTTCCCAACTCAGTTTTCTTGCATGACAAATTGGGTTTAGTGCCCTAAGGCACAGTGGGTTTAGCCATTGCCTGGGATAGCCACACCCCATATCCTATCTGCTCCAGCTTCCTGCTGACACTCCTGGGAGGTAGCACATGGTGCCTGCCTGAACCCCTGAACTCACATGAGAGACCAGGATGAAGCTCCTGGTTTCAACCGGCACCACAGGCAGTCAACCAGTGGATGGCTCTCTCACGCTCTCCCTCTTTCCCTCCCTCCTTCTCTTTTCTCTCTCTCTCTCTGGCTCTGCCTTTGAACTTGGCCTTAGACTTGTCAGTGCACAAGGTTACCACTCAGACACACAGAACACTGCAGGAAGCCTTCCTTGACCAAGTCCTCTGTATGCTATAAATGTAGGGCACCTTGCACATTTGCTCCCCACCTCCATCCCCTTGTCTCCCCTGGGACCAGAACCCCAAGGACTTGGAAGGCAGCTTCCCAGAAGGCAAAGTCCCAGGAGCTAGCCAGGCTAACCAGGAGCACAAGGACCTCAGCCAGGCACACAGGGGCCACTGACCTCTACTTCAACTCCCCAGAGCCACAGCCAAGCCCAAGCTGGACCCAATGATTCATGAGCCCAGGACAGGGGTCGGGGTGGGAGGCACAGAGCTCCCAGCATGCTTGAGAAGGGATTTTCCACTGGCCTGGCACCAGAGCACCCTCTGAGAGGGTGTTGAGCTCGGGAGTGGGGCCTGAGGCTCACCCCAGAGTGCGGAGGCAGCTGGCGGCTGGGAGAGTGCAGAGCCAGCAGCCCCCAAGGTCCTGGGCCACCTGCCTCCATGGCCTGTAAGTGTCCCTCCCCCAGCAGCTAGGCACCCAGCGGCAGGTCCTGCGCCATGCATAAAGTCACACCTTGACATTCTCCTCAGTGAGGCCCTTCTCCACGGAGTCCGCCACATTCTGCCGGATGCGCTGCAGGAATGCCTGGAGGAGAAGAGAGATGAGCAAAGGTGAGCGTTCGCACTTGCCATTCTCCCAAGGACGGCCCCACAATGCAGCCGGCCCGAGTGCAAATGTCAACAGGAACCTGGGGGCTGGCAGGGACCCAGGTCATGGGCAGTGAACAGGAAAAACCTACCTGGATGTAAAGCTTAACAAAGAATACGCCCTCCCCTCCCCACACCCCAGTGTTCACTGACCCTGTGCTGGCACCAACAACACAGAATCCGCATGGATTCCCCAAAGATAGTCACAGGCAGTTTCCAAAGTACTACATTTCGCTGAGCACATTTTGGGGCTTCACTATGGCACCAAGGCACAACCATGCCATGTCTGAGCTGCCAGTTCCACCACACACTGCAGTTAGCTGAGCCAGATGGCTTCGCCTCCAACCCATACACATGTGCACATAAGGCAATTCCTGGGGGTTGGGGAGAGGGCTGGACCAAGCACTGAGGGGCAGTAGGTTGGTGGAGTAAATACACACTCAAAGGGCAGGCATTCAGCCCCGTGGTTGAGGCCCCGTGTTAAGTCTCCTACATGCTGAATCCGAGTACACAGGTTCTAGTCCCTGCCTCCCTCCTAACCCCCGCTGCCTGCTGATGCAGACTCAGGAGGCAGCAGGTGCCAGCTCCTGCCGTCCACATGAGAGCGAGCTAGACAGAGCTCCTAGCTCCCGGCTTCAATCCAGTCCGTGAGGTTGTACCCATCTGGGGAATGAACCAACAGGCTGGAGCTCATTCTCTCTTTCTGCCTCTTAAACAAATGTTGAAAATCATACCTTTTTAAAAAAAAAAAATTTGCACCTTTGGCTTACATTATTTCCAGCCTGTGCTGTTGTTTTCTGGATGAGGGGCAGCTGTGGCCTCTTCTGTGCCACCTCCCATGGGTCCCCTTCTGACCACAACCCATTTGCCACCCTTTAGAATTCTAAAACTCTGGCTCAAAATTCAAACACATAAAATGCCCCAAACACAAAATATGTCCCTTATACACCCCAGTACCCGCCCATCTAACTCCTCCCCACCCTCCAGATGGACAAAATGGCCATTAATTTCTTGGGAATCTTTCCAAGGAAGCGTTTGTAAAAGCACACATAAGGATGTGTGAACATACATGCATATGCATGAGTCAGTGGGCGTGTCAGCAAGAGTATGTGTGTGTATATGTGAAAGTATTATGGGCTGTGCATGTGTGTATGTGTGCATGTCAATGCATTGTGTATCTGAGTGTGAGTGCACATAAATGCATGCATGTATGTGGGAGTGTATGTGTACGGGTAAAAATATGTTTATGTGCATACATCTGAGTATGTTGCGTGCTGATGTGCATATGTGTGTGTACATGTGTATGTGTGTTCTTACTCTTCCCCCCATACATGCCAAAACCCAGTTGTGCTCCCAGAATGCCTCACACCTTGCTCCAGCCTGTCTTTACCTCGCATGAGCACACCTCCACAATTAGCCACCTGCCCAGGATGGCACACTGGGATGCACCATGGTCCTTCTGCCTGCTACTCCTCCGGGAATCAGCACAGAGAAATCATCTCCACCCTCGGTGAGATGTGACCCGTAACGATGATAGTAACAGGGGCAGGCAGCAGCAGCAGAGACCCGGGAGCCAGCGAGTTCACTCCAAGTAGAGAGACAAGGGGCCCAATAACATCAGATGTTCTGGTGTTGGAGGGTATTTGTGGGTCTTTTTTTTAATGAAATCAGAAATTAAGGGGTTGTTTGTTTTGAAAGCAAAGCCTCTCAGTTTATAAATGCTGGTTGAAAGAGCTCTCTGTTACTGGAAAGAACTGGATTTTCCAGGTTGAGCACAGAAGCTGGAAGTCAGGGCAGGGGTCTAGTTGCAAGCACAGGGACGACAATGGCCTGGCCTCCAAGTGGCGTGGGTGGGACAGATCAGGCAGCAGAGCCACTGCTAAAGAAGGTGCTGGGGGAAGAACAAATAGGGACGCAGGAAGAGACCAGAGCCAAAACCTAAGGGAGCCTGAGGTTGGCTACCTACAGCAGCCACTGCCTGGTACACCCACACGTGGGGCCTGATCCCAAGTGGGCCTCACAGTGACCAAGTGGCAGCCCTTAGGAAACAGAACCCCTCATCTTGCCACAGCCACAGGGCCACACAGATGCTGGCAGCCACCAGCCAGCTAACTGTACAGAGTTAGGTATTAGATGCAACACTCCCATATTACAACACGGGGGCATGCAGTATGGGGGAGGGGTCCACAGACGGGGGAGGGGTGACAGTGCATAGATGGGGCATGTGCCAGGGAGAGCATGCAGCCTCCTGACCATTAACCTCAACCACGCCTACCTAGCAGGATCTCTGAGCAGCCGGGAGGTGGAAAGGCAGCCTGAGGCAGTGGTGGGGAGAAGCAGGGGGCAGAGGGGAGGCTGGTGCTCCCAGGCCTCACCCATCACCTGACAGCACTCCACCGCTGCAGCGGGAGCCAAGGCACCCCCAGAATGGAGTCCCTCAGGAGGGGTGTGCTGATAAACAAACACCACATGGCACACCTCAGGGGCGGGGTGCCCAGAGGAAGACGGGCCCACCTCAACAGGGTAACCACAGCCAGGGTCAGGGCCCCAGGTTTATGCCATATCCTACCCTGAGTCTTCTCCCGTGAAAGCCAGCCGCAGCCGCAGCTGCCACCTGAAGCCTGAGAGTGCCTCTGCCTGAACTTGGCCTACCCCAATTCCTGAGCCTCCCTGCAGCCCTGCCACTCCGTTACCCTCCCCACTTTCGCCTGCCTGATCAATAACATCTTGGCCTGCCAGGGGCTCTGGTCAATCACCCCAGCCCCCTCTTCTTGACTCTCCCTTTCCGATCCATCAGCAAGTGCCATGCACTTTCTCCATCTCCAGAGCCGCCTCTATCCAGTCCAAGCAGCCCAAATTAAGGAGGTCCCCCGGTCCCTGGTCCCCCTGCCCTCCCTCATAGCTGGAGGGTCCGTAAAAACTTGAACCAGAGGCAAGCCACCTGTGGCCAAAACCCCCCAAAATTTTAACAAAAATCCCAAATCCTCCTACAACCCACAGATCCCCATGATCTCCTCTTTGCAAAACCTCCTGACCTCACCCCCTGCCACTTGAGCCACATTCCTCCCACCGGCCTCTGCACATGCTGTTTCTCCCAGCAGTTCTGCCCTGGGAGGGGCCCCTCCTCATCCATCAGGCCTTCACACACTTAATACCTTCCCCTCTCGCCACTTTTTTCAATGAGCCCATTCACAGATGAGAAAACTGAGGTTCACCCATCTCTACTAACTCCTAAGGAAGAGGCTAAGATAGGAAGGGAACATGGTTGGGATAAAACCTTAACCCTGAATCCAACAATACAGGTCAGGCTTGGAAATGGACAGGTTTGGGTTTGAATCTTAGACCACCCTCCCGAGGGCTGCCAGAGGAGGGCGGAGTTTGCTTCCCGCCCAACCCAGAATGGACAGTGAAACTCTGGTGGGCCTTCCCAACTGCTGTGTGACCTTGAGACACTGCACTAGACTCTGGGTTCCAGCTTTCTCTTTCCATACATGAGGATTACAGCAGGACTGCATACACCCTTCAGGATACAATCAGATTGAGCAAATGGAAGCTCCCAGAAGGCAGAGGACTTCTCTCCTTCATAGCTGTAGTCCTGGGTCTGGTCCACAGCAGGTGCTTGCAAATCCAAGGACAGGGAGAAAGGGGTCTGGGCCCCCTGAGAACCTGCTGGTCTTGCTTCCACTGGCTATGGGGACAGGCGTCCCTAGAACTCATTTTGACAGGGCCCCTGGAGAGGACACAGACAGGAAGGGGACACTGACAGCCTCCCAGACAGGAGGGGACACACACACACACAGCCTGGCCCTGCGCGGTGGGGCAGGCAGGAAGCGGGGAGAGCTGCTTGGCTGGCCTAGATGGGGCTTCCTGTCCTGGTTTGCTCAAAGGCTCTTGGCCACCGCTATTGTGCTGGGACAATGGGAGGCTCAGGCCACCCACAAGGAACGGCAGGCAAGCCAGTGTGACCGGAGAAGAAGGGGAAGAACCTGGCAGGCTGGGTGGGGCTGGAAGGCCACTGTGAAAACAGGGTGGGTAACGAGAGCTGGGCGGTGAGAGGGCGGTGGGGGCAGGAAGCGTGGGGACCCACAGCACTGTACCCTAAGCAGCTCTGCTGCTGGAACCTACCTCCCTCACATACCTACCATGTTCTGCCCCAACCACTGTCCCACACTTGCCCAAACCCTCCTTTTCTGATGATGATGATGACGAAGAAATGTTTCCAGGATGCAGAAAAGGGGAGATTAAAAAAAAAAAAACGCCACCAGCAGCACAAACTCAGACCTTCCTCATACTGGCAAACCTTGAGCATGAGGCCCAGCCTGCTTGAAACCGTGGGCAGAGAGACATGTCCAGCCTGGGAGCAGTGTAGACAGGGAAGGGTTACACAGCAGGACCAGGGACCCTGAGAGCGGTCTGCACCCAGCCCTCGTGTGACCACACAGGTGACCGTGTGCACCACACTCCACTCCGCTGTGTACACCCCAACTCAGGTCACTTTTCCACTCACATTACAAACCCCAAAGCAACAAAAGGAAGAATCGCTCCCGAGAGGGGCGAGCCAGACAGACACCTCTCTTCCCAGTAAGGCACGCAGCCCCCAGGCCAGGGCGTCTGCATTCCCATGCACCCTGTGCTCATGTGTATCTGTCTGTTATGCCTGCTGTCTACCAACTATCTGCAAATGCCATGCCTCCAGCAACATGCCTGTGCCACTCCACATTGCCCACACATGCCCATGCAGATGCACACATCTGTACCAAAGCAGCACCATGGCCAGTCCCCATCACCAGGCCTGAAGACCCCTCTCCAGTGCCGGGTGGGCCAGAAGTACTGAAGAAGGCAGGCTGCTGGGATGCAGACCCCAGCAAGGAGCCGGCAAGACAGAATAGAAGACTGGGGCACCTGATGGCTGCCCTAGGAAGATTCTGCTCCGGCGGT